TGGGCGCTGGCCGGCCAGGGGCTTGTCCCTGGCTGGGGAGGGGGGTGGGCAGGCGAGTGCCCATTGGGCAGCCGGCGGGGCCGTATGCGTCTGCCGCGGAGCTGTGGGTGCAGTGGGCTGGGGTCCAGTGGGCGCAATCCCCCCTGAACCCCACCGATCCCCAGATCGTCAGCACCTGTGGTGGCCCGGACATCGCGCGTTCTGTCTCCAGCCCCCTGCTCTCCCGAGAGGCTGTGGGCTTCCTGCGAGGCCACTTAGTTCCCAAGGAGATGGCACTGTGGGAATCACTGGGGGAGACTTGGACACGCCCCCGGTACGGCACTGGGCGTGGGGGGCGGGGAGGGGCACAGGCCCTGCTGGGCGTTCACCCTGCACCTCCCACCCCAGCTCCGAGTGGCCCCGGGAGCCGCAGGTGCCTCTCTACGTGCCCAAGTTCCACAGTGGCTGGGAGTCCCCCCTGGACGTGCTGCAGGAGGCCCCCTGGGAAGCAGAGGGGCTGGCACCCGCCCCCACTGACGAGGTCAGAGCACCCAGTGCCCATCCCACCGGTCACCAGCTGATCCCTCCACGGCTGCCCACTGCCCTCCCCCCTTCAGCAGTCTGCCCTACCCCCTGTCCTCCTGGCCTGGTCCCCACCCCACACCAAGCCCAGGCGGCCCCCTGTCCCTACAGCCAACTCCAGCGAGCCGCCTACCCTTTCGAAACTCCTCGAAGCACAACCTGGTACCTGAGCCCACAGCCCCAGGAGACGTCCTCCCCCCAGTCAGCTCCCCACATGTTCACAGGTAAGCTCCCCTCAAAATAAGGGAGTGTGACGCTCACCTGCCAGAACACAGAGACTCTGATGTGGGCGTGTTGCCACCATGTGGCAGCAGAGGCCTCACGTGTGCTTCCAACAGCCCCTTCCACACTGGGACCAGATTTTCATTCTAACTTTATGACATGTAGTTGAAGGAAAAACGTGAAAAGCCATCCGTAAATTCACTGCCCTCGTACATCGTGCCTTGGGTCTCGACATTCACGTTTAGCGTCGTGGTTCAGAACTTTCCGGACCACTGAACTTGCGTGGTCCACCCATCCCCGTCGCCTGTGGGGTTGATCTAGGAGGGTCTCGGCTAGGGTCTCGGCTGGAATGCCCTCCCCTACCCCAGCCTTCCCCCGCATGTCCCCAGAGCACACCTCGCAGGCCTCCCTCCTTCCCTCCTCGCCTCTTCTCTGTTCTTACTCCTGGCCCAGGATCTGTCTGGGGGGCTGGCTTCCCTGCCAGACCCCAGGATTCAGTCTCAGGAAGGGAGGGGTCCAGAGCCCGAGGTTTATACCCGTGAGCCTCCCCCGCCCACATCTCCAGCCTGGTGCCCCTGGTCCCTGGCCTGGGCTGCACTTTGAGAAGTGTCTTCATTCTTTGCCCTGGCCGGTCCACCCTAGCCAGTCCTGACGACCCCTACCAGGGCTCCAGGAGGCATCCCAGCCTCAGCCCCACCACCTTCCCAGTGTCCTGAGGCCTGCACCTGCATGATCAGATCCCAGACTGACCAGGAGGGCTGGGCTGGGTGGCGGCCACAGGCCTGCCCCGTGCAGAGGCTGGGACACCCCTTGCCTGAGCCCCCTCCCCTAACTATGTTCTGTAGCCAGGAGCAGCCCTCCAGTGTGCGTGCTCATGCATGGTCGGCAGCATTCAGGGGCCGTGGCTCTGAGCACCTGTGGCCCTCCCTGGCTGGCCAGCTGCTTTCCAGAGCCGGCTGTGACCCTGTCCTTTCTTGGGTACATGCCTGGCTCTGGTTTCCCTGGGGGGCCAAGCCTGGAGACCCCTGAGGTGGCCCGAGCTGGAGCTGGCCTTGCTGAGCCCACGGGCACCTGAGTCCCAGCGGCCTCCGCTGCCCCCACCCCCGTGCGGTGGCCCGGCCGCTCTGGGGCTGTCACAGATTCCGTTCCCGCTGGCAAGCCGCAGCCTCTCTCCACTGCAACCTTGGAGAGCCAAACGGGAGACCGCCGCGCACCCAGAAAGCTGCTCCCCCAGCCCAGCCCCGGGTCCAGGAGGAGACCCCGGTCCTGGGCCTCAGCCCCTCCTGTTGCACACAGGGGCTACGAACCCACACCAGCCATGGCCAAGTACGTCAGGGTCCTCTACGACTTCACGGCCCGCAATGCCAATGAGCTGTCAGTGCTCAAGGACGAGGTCCTGGAGGTGAGTGGGGCGGGGAAGGGGGGGCAGGGGGAGCGAGAGGCTGCATGACGCTGGGACCTAGCGCGTCCACCGACCCCTTTCCCCAGGGTCCCAGCCTGGGCTCCCACCCGCCCCCTCCCCACAGCGGAGCCTGACTGAGGGGGGTCCCAGGGAAAGTGTTTCCTGAGCTGGACTCTGTGCCAAGTCGGGGACCCTCCAACCCAGCAGGGGCTTGTCGTTCATGCCCATCCCTGGGGCCCCCTTGAGGCACCATCTGTGTGTGGTGCTAACCCAAATCCAGGCCACCAAGGGAGGAAAGTGGAGCGAGCTGGGGGTGGGTGACCTAGGTCCACAGCCAGGCTGCAGGCCCCAAGCTCCAGACCCTGCTGGGGGGTTGGGGGCGGCCGGTGGGTGAGATGGAAGGCTGGGCGGGGTCATGGCACCTGGAGGGGCCTGTGACCATCCCGAAAGGACTGGGGGGTGGGGCCCGAGGGGAGAGAGGTAGCTCTCTCTGGCCCCTCTGTACAGGAGCCCACACTCGGGGAGTCTCTGCCCTGGTTCCCATGGCCAGAGCCGGCTGGGCCTGGCGGTCAGTGTGACAGCGGGGGTGTGGTCCACAGGTGCTGGAAGACAGCCACCAGTGGTGGAAACTTCGCAATCGCAGTGGCCAGGCAGGCTATGTCCCCCACAACATCCTGGACGAGACGCGGCTGGAGGACGTGGGTGTCCCTCCAGAGCAGGTGATGGGGGCTCATCCCACCACCGGGTCTGAGGAGGCTGGGGGCAGCGGCAGGGGGCGGTGAGTCTCAGGGAGACACCGTCCCTGAACCTCCAGTCCTTGCTGCAGGGGCTGGTGTGGGGGCTCAGGATGTCTGAGGCCCAGGCCAGGTAGGGGGCCTGGACAGGTTCTGGAAGGGGGACAGGGTCCTCACACTGGCCTTACTCTGACCCTGATGGGAGGGATGATGAGTGAGGCCAATGGGACCCCCCACTCCCTGCCTCTTCCCACCCAGACTGGTCCGAAATATTGGGGTGCTGCTAGCCCCACTCACAAGCTACCGCCAAGCTTCGCTGGGAACAAAGATGGTGAGGAAAGGTGGGGGGCGGGGGAGGGGCGGGGGACAGCTGGTCCGCTCACAGCCACCTGGGGAGCAGGGGTGCCCAGACCAGGAGAGGGGGCGCTCTGGGGTGAGCGGGGCGGGGCCTGAGCAGCTGGGCCCCGCAGAGCTGATCCACCACATGGACGAGGTCAACGACGAGCTCATCAAGAAGATCAGCCACATCAAGTCACAGCCGCAGCGAAACTTCCGCGT